CAGGAACACAACAATATGATGGTGGGTGCAATGGGACACAAGGCCTCTGTCTGCAGGCTGTCTCCGTAAGCTTCCAGGCAAAGCCATGCTCCTGGCAGCCCTACCCCTGCTCCTGCCCTTGGCCACAAAGGCTGGATGATGCTTAGGTCATCCTTCTTCTCACTTAAACAGAAGCAGCTGGGAAGGGAGGAAAAAAGAAAACATATTTGAATTAAAACACATGTATAAAATACAGCTGAGTTCCCCAAACAGCTGGAATTTTGGAACAACTCTCTGCCATTCCTTCCCAATTTGTTTCACATCACTACCCATCTCATCACCTGTACACTCCTTGACACCTCCTATGCCCAGAAACGTCTTTTTGCTCCCATTCACCCAGTATCCCCCAACCCACTTCTTTTTTGTTCCAGTCCCAGAAGATGCCTCTTCAGTGCCCATCACCAAAGGAGTTCCCCCAGGATCTACCAAATTCCAGTGTTCCCATATTAAAGACCATTCCACACCTTTTACACACACGGTGCACTACAGAGTAGTCATAAACTAACTAACTTTCCACTGCTATCTGGCTGGCTATAGGCTGGTGGTAAGTCAAGAGAGCAGCATTTCGTTACCGGTGGGGAATCGGTTTGGATCTAACTAGCTCTTTAAGATGTTGTTGAAAGAATATACCCAAGAGTCGACTCGCACAGCTGGAAAAAGGAAAGTAACTGTGAGGACAGTGTTGAAATCCAACAGCTAGACTCCCAGCCTATTCATTCTCAAGCCCTACATTATAGCTCTATCTGTCACTAACTCATCAGTACAGCGTGTGGCAAGTCATACTCTCCAGTCCCGACCTGTAGGGCATGGGTGACATCTGCCTAAACCTCCAGATACCAGACATTATCAGTACCGAGGAAAGGCTATGAAAGACACGCAGTTTCTTAGTGCTGCCTCATGCCACCCCACCCCACTCCCTCAGCTGTGCTGGCGTGGCTGAGGGACCATTTCTGCAAACCGAGTTCGGGAAATGACCTCGCTGGGCAGCGAGGTGGTGAATCTCTCCAGGGCTCCCTTTTGTTTTCTTGGCAGAGATCTTTTCTGCCAGATTTCCCTGCTACAGCTCACAAAGCAGCTACGCAAACACTTCCGTCCATGCAACAGAGAGAGCAAGATATGCCGTACACTTCGGCGCTGCTGAAGGCGGAACTTGGTTCTGTTCACGCCAGCTGGCTTAAGACAGGTAGACAAATCAGTTGGTGGGAACTGCATTTTCAGAAGACGTTCAAACATTACACACGTTCTGAAAGCTGAGGAGAGGTAACATAATGCACCACCCCTGTTCCCCCAAAGAGTCGGAGATCAAATAAGACAGAACATAATC